CTTAACTATGGCTAGGCCATGGCAAATATCTCTACAATAGACACAGTGCAGAGCTGGCCCCTTTTAAAGCTGGCATTCAAAAACTGGTGCTCAAAATGAAGAGACGGTTTAAAGAGACCATGATCCTAAACAGCCCCTCTCTCATCACCACACTTTAATTCCAGTTAGGGGGGAAAACACATATAAATGTTTCAAAGATTATTTTTTTTCTTTTCTTTTTTTTTTTTTTTTGGTAAATGTATAATAAATAGGGTAGATTAATAAAGGGCTGTTTCTCAGCTTGTGGTTTCTAATTACATCAGTTACAGCTCAGCCTTCCTCTTAACTAGAGTGCAGGCATGAACTGGAAAAGAATGAGCTAATCCATGATAGATCAGGTGGAATAAAGATCTCCATTCATATCTTCACCTTTTATCCCTTGTTCTGAGTGCCAAGAATTAATGCTGTTTGAAAGTACAAACTGAACCTGCCAAGCTTCGGACAGCTAAGATAATCCTAATTATTTTAAATGTTAGTGAGAAGGGCAGCAGTTTCACTCTGGAAAAGAGTCCTATTGTGAAACATTAAATATCTGCTAAGTGGTATTGATTGGACATGATTTTATTTCCAAACACTATGGTTATCCTGAAGCGGAAGAATTTGTTGTTTAAGAAATTTTCGTCAGCTTTTCATTAGACTCTTAGGCCCGCAAACTCTAGGAAGCCGAAGAGACCAGCCCGTGGTTGTCTTCCTTACCGGCCAGCGTCTTGGTGCAGAGTTGCTCACAATTGAAGAACGCCACTTACATTTGGTTTTAAAATGGTTCCTTAGTGGGAGTTTAATAGTATTTAACACGGAGAAAGAAAAATTTTTTTCTCAGGCGTGAATATCCTGTTTTCTCACATCACTGGAAGAGAATTATTCGTTCCAGTCCATTGACTTCCAACAGATCACTCAAGTTAAAAGTCAGGGGTCTTTGCAATGTCAAAAGATTTAGCAGTTAGAGTGGTTTTTGTTTTGTTTTTGAGAGGCGTTCCCCCCTCTTTTTTGGCAGTATATAATATTTTTCAAGAAAGAACACCGATGGTTAGATTGCATCACCAAATCATCTTGGGTTGGTTCTTCTCCCCACCCCACCTTGGTAGGAATGACCACGTGTAAGGGGCTTTTTTGTTTGCTTTAAAATAATAATAAAAGAAAGACGCTTTGACTGCTCTAGACAAATAGGCTACTCAAGAAAACAGAAACTAGACTTGCTGGTTCAAACAAGGGTCAACCTTGAAGGTTTACCCACCTTCCACTGTAACATACAATAAAAGGGCAGACAGGCAAATTTTCCTCCTCTTTTTTTTTTTTTTCCTTACTTTTTAGTCTCTACATTGGTCTCCAGGAGTCGTTCCTTCAATTTCTGTAAATGCTGGGAGGCTATCAGTGATTATATCAGGTAGCATAGTCCTCACTTAATTTATCACTTGTGAATGCTTTATGCCCCCCCCCCTTTTTTCTGCCCCCAACCCTGCCCCACCCCCCAGCACAAGAATAATGAACTAACATCTTCACTAATGCAAATATGGTGTGTTGAGCATCTCTGAGCCAATTATTCTTTTTTTCTTTGGGTTATTCCCCAGAGTGGAATTACGAGGTCAGAAGGGCTGAACACTTTTATGGTTCTTATTACATGTCACTAGATTGCTGTCCAGAAAGATTGAACCAATTTCTAGTGCTACCAGTCCTCTGCTCCCCACAGTGCCACAGACACCAGGTTTTAGCATTTCTACAGAATGATTAAGACAGACCTTTTGAGTCTGCATCAGTCCTGCTCAGGGCCCATCAGCATCAACTTCATAATCAAAAATGATCATTTTGATTTTTGACTTGATATAAAATAATTTACAATGGTCAATTTTTACTCTTCTCCCTCAAAAAAGTTTTAAGGAAGCTGCTTTAAAATGAAGAGGATGCTAGGACCGGCAGGTGGCATGCTGGTGAAGGGTGCTGGACTCCCACATGCTCACCCATGGTTCGAGCCTGGACCTGGTGACTGGCTTTCTCACTTTTCCTTCTCTCTCTCTCTCTCTCTTTCTCACTCACTCTGTCCCTCTCTGGTCAAATTAAAAAAATAATAATAAAGTTAAATAAAATATTTTTTAATGAAGAGGATACCTTGAGGAACTGTATTTAAAGATAGATTTCCAACATTAGTCACTAAGAACAAAACAATATTTATACACACACACACACACACACACACACACACACACACACACGTGTAACTTTTATGAGGTGCTAAACATGTATTGTCCCTAACTTCAACTGATTCAAAGAGGAGGCTAAGCCTTGAACAAACATAAAAATAACATGGATTTAAATGTTGAGTGGAGAAACACTTTAAAAAACAGGTGCTTTTCAAAGCAGGTTGAGTTCATTTACATCTCTGGAATGCAGGCATGCATTGTGTGCTGGGAGCCTCCTAGACCACATTCAGCAGGTCTCTGTGGCCCCATGTCACACAGATTTTTCCAAAAAATTACCCACAAGGCAAGTGAGAGCAAAAGTGGGCTACCGCCTGATTGCTTTCTTTTGCAAAATTCCCACTTCTCCCCCTTTATCGGTCCAAGTTAGCTAAATGGAAAGGAGTGAGAGAGAGACTGCTAAGTCAGCTGCTAACTGAAAGCAGAGGCAGGCCCAGGGCTCAGAACAGGTCAGTAGACATTTACCTGTTTCTTTTCAGCCGCTGCGGCCAGTCTGACAAGAGTCAATTATTTTACTTCTTTAAATTCACACAGGGACTGGAAAGCGACCAGTTCCTAAATGTGGCGCCCAAAGGTATGATAGTGCGGTCTAGAGCACACTGGAGTTAGGCTGACCAGTGGCCACTGCCTTTGGCAGCTCTCCGAGGGTCCCCTGTGTAAATTGGGGACAGTAGTTTTCTCAGTGAATGGCTTTTGAGAGTGAAATGCACCGTTAAAGTATGTGGCAGACAGTAGGCAGTGAATGTTCACCTCATTCTCCACCAGTGTAGAAGAGGAACTTGTCACTGTGGTGAGGCTGGGGTTGGGCAGATAAGCTAATACACACTTCATTGTGCTTAGTCTGCCTGCCACATCTGTATAGTACAAGACCCCTGCAGTATACCGCCTTTGGGAAACATTGCTCTGGGCATCTATATAACCACCAGGTGCACACACACACAGTTATAAATCAGCTGGTTTTTGCAGGGAATTTTAAATCCCTATAACAATTCAAATGTAGTGAGTAGTCTTTTTTGAAGCACAGTAAGATGAAGGCTTCAGATTTCCTAGGTTCTCAAGTTTCTTTGGTTGCTACAATATATTTATATATGCGTTTGCACACTTTTGGGGCATCTATAAAATTACTATTTAACAACTCTTCTTTTTTTAGAAAAGCTTAGAAACTGGCCCCTTGCTTTTTATTGAAGTTACTAAAGACTAAACAAACATGAGCAATAAAGAAAAAGTAATTGCTTTTCAGGACTTTGCCTCGATTACTTTTCAAATTTATTCACTTTACCGAGTTTTCATACCATTCCTTTCTTTATTGGATAGTGAGGTAGCTATACAAAACTAGACATCTGTCTGTCTGCCTACCCATATGTCACATTGGAAAAATGGGGCTTTCTGAAATAATATGGTCCAGTGGAGTGGTTAAAGGTCCGCTTCTTAAATCCGAGCTCTGTTCTTTTATTTCTGTGTGGTTCCACTAGCTTCAGCAAACCTTTTCCAAACCCATAACAAGCGTAAATAGTGTTCTCTTGTAAAAAGGTCTCTTTTCAGCATGGTAATATACCTTATTAAATTCCAGACATAATAAGTATTGATGGCAAACACATCAGGACCCAGTAGAGCTTCTACTATGATTTAGTTCTCTACAAATG